TGCCCTCGAGCCCTCATCCCCCTCACAACCGTCTTCATTTGCCGACATTTATCTGTCGGTATGCACACTGCCAGCAACTGTCACCAAGGACCTTGGACAACGGGCAAAGCTGGCTAATCAATGCCGGAATTGAGGAGGCAAGGATGCAAGTACCGGGATACCCTGCTCCGACTTCGTAGCATCCTGTTGAGACACAACGTTTCTTGAGATTCTCGGGTGCTAGTAGCAACTCAGTAGCAAGTGCTTGGCCTGTGCGTGGCCGCATTTTCGGTTGAAGTCCGTCACAGGCAGACATGGCCGACGCATACGCCGTTTCAATACATTGGGCATTAACGCAGTTCACACCCGCGACCAACAATGTTGCGCCAGTCACTGTCGCAGAGAGGCCTTTCCTGCTTTCACTTCGGGATTGCGAGGGAAATTTTGTTTGTTGCCTCATCAAGGAAACGAGCCGCGAACAAAAGGTGAGTTAGCTCTGCATTACCTTTCCCATGCACACCTAATGTTCTACCCTATGCTCGCATTGTTCTGGAGGTTTTTTGCCGTCTTAGTCATTCTGCTGGCGATGGGCACTTTCTCATCTTTCATCAGCTCCATCACAACGACAGTGAGTACCTTGCGCACCGCGCGCGAGGAGCAGTTCAAAAATCATTCCTTCCTGGTCCGATTCTTCAACGAGCGAAATCTGTCGACGGAGCTCTACGGCAAGGTCAACGATATGTTAAAGAAGCAAGGAGCCTACGACATACGTGTGAAGGAGGCGGATGTCGAGCTTCTGGTGGGAGTTCCTGAGCGGCTGAAAGTTTATCTCCATGAAGAGATGTACCTGGACCGCCTGATGACTCTCAGCATTTGGCGATACTGGAAACACGATGATGATGAACTCTTTTTTCGGCAGGTGTGCCACCTCGCGATGGTAGAGCACATCGCAACACCAGGTCAAGATGCTTTCATGCCTGGCACGGAGTGTACTCAGGTGTACATAATCGAGAACGGCTCCATGGGTTACATCGCCAGACAGTTGACCTCTTTCGAGTCTGAGCACGTGTTTGGAGGGGAGGTCTTCTGTCTGCCGTGCATTTGGGCAGAGTGGAACCATCGAGGCCGACTCACAGCGAATACAGGAAAGATCTGCTACTACAACGGAGTGGACGCGGTGACTTTCGCGAACCTCGTGAAGAAGCACGGGTCCCCTCTCTGGCAGCACTTGGATGCAACAAGCGTTAAGTGTGTGCCACCTTGCTGTCCTTGGTACACAATTTGAACTGTGACTTTATCGAAAGGTATTTGCAGATTTTTGGCATACTGTTGATTGGGGAAGTGGAGCACATGGACGGAGAGGCTCCCCATGAAGCAGTTCATTTGACTTCGAAGTGGCTCTGTGTAGTGTAGCAGAGTGAAGTGGGCAATGCTGGCTCATGTTCTCGTGACATGTGAGTTTGACGAGTGCAAGCGATCTGAACTTGCAGCGAAGCTTTGGGTCAGGATATTTGGGTCACGGACAAGTGTCTTTCAGATTCAAAGATGGACGACGTCGCCGCACGAGCTCAGCGATCCTAGCCCTGCATTGACGGCCTGTGAATACATCGTTGTCTAGTAAGATTCACATGGGTTTCGTCTCGACTCTGCCGAGGCTTTGCCGATATTGTGAATGCTGCATGCCTGAACAAAGCATGTTTTTTTTGGTGCGTGTAGTGGAAGTACCAAGCACCTGCCTGAATAGAGAAGGACGTGCCTAGGATAGAAAGCCGACGCTAAGCCACGGAGGCCAGACATGCTCATAAGGGTTCCTTCATGGCAACCCTCGGTGCGATTGCCCACACCTCGAATTCGTGCCTTGACCGACGTTTTGTTGCTACTGATTCAGTGCCAGTTGGTGTACAGCAGATCCTTGAAGTCTGAGGCGATCAGGCAGCAAATCTGCAACGGATGTTGCCTGGCCAATGGAGCTTTAGAAGTGGAGTTCATGCAGGGTCTCATGAGCGGGGCGAGTGCTCTTGGTGGCAGCGTTTGCCATGAAAGAATTGGCCCGCAACTTCCAGTTTTCACCTACACTAGCTGTTCCGAGCGAGAGACACGGAAGGCCTGTGTTCTCGCGTCCTCATCCAGAGGACATTTTTACGCGTACATGCGCAGGCGCTTCTGCGCGAGAGTGGTTGTGCTGTGAAGCAGCATTTTAAATAGCTTTTGCGTCGAAGATCTTTTTGCCAACACCTCATGCAAGTGAGGATGTCATTACCTTCTTGCTTATGGGAGACCACAAGTGCTTTTCCGGAAAAAGCAGCGGCGGAAGGTGAGCGAATGAAGCCTGCAAGTTTCATCCGAGATCGAGTGAAATGAGCATCAGGTTGAGCGTAGCACCTGCAACAGTATTCAACTTATCCTCGATGCAAAACGGTTTTTCTGCACGTTGACGAATGGTCATATCGGCGAGCGTAGTGCGGTGCTCAAGGCCAGGGTGCGTAATCTCCAGATCCAGACACGCCAACGATGCGCTCGGCTTCAGCGCGCATCTGCCGCCTTTGTCCGCCGAGGTCCTGGTGGCTCCGAGCTGGTGGAGGCTTCGCCTGGCGTTGGCGCTGCAGGAGGCACTCTCGGTGCTGTGCATGCTTAGTCTCCCAGATGTGGGTTACATCGTGCATTGAGGCCGCAGCCGTACCTGTTGGGTGGACACAGGACTATGCCGAAGCTGCTGCGGGCGAACTGGTGGCAACTGTGTGGCTCTCGGCAGGAACAGCGTGCAGCGTTGGTGCCCGGTGTAGAGACGGGCTTCCTCAACAAGGCCATCAGGGTCCGGGTGTTGTTCGTATATCGGATTCTACCAGCTTCGCGAAGAGAGCTTGTTGACATCTCGAGCTCCAGCTTGCCAACTGCAGGAAAGGAGCACAGGAGGAGAGTGTAGTGTTGAGCATGCACAGGACTACTGGTGCCGCTGTGCTGAAGGCGTGCGCAGCTGCCTTCTTGCAAAAGGCCACCCCCCGTGGTGCAATCAGACCGGCCTTGTTATATCCCGCAGACTTTGTTTTATCTGAGGCCTGAGCGAAAGCGAAGCCGAAGAAAGGGCACAGGCTGCCGTGTGCAGGGCCTTGCCAAGCGTCGCCAGCGTCGCACCTACGCCGCCTGCGTGGAGTGGCTGTGGCCGTGCGGGCTCTGCTTAGGCGAGTTCCTGGCGTCCATTGTTGGTGCTGAAGAGATGCTCCAACGAGGTAAGGAGCCGCTTTCTGCAAAAGCATTCGTCCTTGTCACGCCTGACTGAGTCTATGGCTCTATGGATTCGGGCTAAGAAGCTACCAGGCGGTGCGGCCGTTGCTGCCCAGAAAGCCGTGGCCAAGAGCTCTGGGGCGTCAGATCACTTCGGCTTGGCCCCGTGGGAGACTCAGCAGCTTCCACGAGAGATCTTTGCTCGGTTGGCGTGACCTGCGATTCCGAGGCTGCCGATGCAAATGACGCGAAGCCTCCTGTGCTGGCTGGAGCACCTGCAAGTGCACAAGGTGCTACTCGTATTTGATGATCTTATGTGGGTACAGACATCAAGGGATCATCATTGAATCATTGATAGCAACGCAAGCAGAAGTAGGGGCTCGGGGCTTCGCCGTCTGGTCAGACGAGTCAGATGCCGGTGAAGGCACAGGGTTCTGCGTCGCAGACGTGCGCACCAGGTGTCTTTTCTTTGCCTTGCCGCCTTGCCGGGCCGCTCCCGGTGAAGTGGGAGTGACGATTAAGGGCTTGAAGCTTGTATTCTGAATAGAAGGGAGTACCAGACCAGCAGGTGCTGCCGGCTGATGAGGACTTCGATGTGAAGGGCCTGACTTGGCTCCTGAATTTCCTCGAGGCCGCTGGATGGAGGAAGCTTTGGAGCCCTGCAAGTTGACCGGCCCAGGACGTCGAGGACATCGGGGAGTGTAGTGAGGAGGATGTGGCAATGGCCAGAAGCCCAGCAAGCCCATTCCCATGCAACTAAAGAGTGCTAGCTGCTAGCTCTGAGGTGCTACAGGCTGAGAAAGGCTCGAGGCAACTGGGATGTGCGGTCGCAGTTGCTCCTGTGCCTCATTGTCACACAGGCCTGTCCTTGTGGCTGTGAGCTCCCTGCATGCGAGGCAGCTCCTGCATGCAGCGGCTCGCATGCGGCGGATGGTGGCGAGCTATGCGCGAGGCATGCTTGCGAGTATTGTGCATGTTGGCTTTGTGCTGAGCGCCGTCTGAACACTCGGAGCCCCGTGCGGTGGCTGATTTCTGCAGAGGCCTAGTCCTAGACGTCTTTGCAAAGCCGTCGGCTCTGGTCTCCTCGGCGCTGCGAAGCCCTTCCGTGGCGCCGAAGATGCATTGGGCAACATTTCTCAAGGTGGTTCCGTTATGTTTTGAAGCCTTGAATAAAAATGTCGTGTTTTCGCTGAGGCTTTGGAGCTAGTTGTTGACTGTTTTCGGGGCTTCCAAGTAAGACGGTCTTGCAATGTTGCGGAACGCTTGGTTTCGGCACGATCTTGCACCTTGTGGTTCCTGCATCGACAAAGCAGATCGGAAGAAGCATTTGAGCTGTAATTTCGCACTCGCCTTCCTTGGGACGTGAAATCGGACGTCATCAGCCCCTCTCACTCCTGAAGTTTCAAGATTGAAGTCAAAGTCCGAAGTCCATGCCCCAGCACATGGTCAGCACCATGTGCTGGAGCAGCGGACGTGAGTCCAAGTGGATGAGGGTGTCACGGAGAGCGGAAATCTCTGAGATCTCTGTTGTGGTTTTGCTGATTTTCGACAGCCCTTCGTTACACAAGCTGCTTTTGACTGCAGCATCTTTTGCTGTGGCTGCGGCTCTGACTCCTCCGAAAATCACGAGTATCCTTGCCTTCAACTGCAGAGTCGCAAGACTCTGGAGTCCGTGTCTGAGGCTGTGTATGCTGCGAAGGTGATCCGGCAAATGGGTGTCCGACCCAGTGGCAATGGGAATCAGAAACGGGGGACTTGACCAATCGGCCTAAGTGCTTGATGCGTGTTGTTCGCTATGGATGGATCGGAGAGGTGGCGACATTGACTTGTGCCGCATCGGGGCTTTCGCGCTGAAACCCGAAGGCGTCCGAGAGAGTGCCTCAGCAAGACATAGCAAGACTGCTTCTGGCCGTGTTCCAGGAGCACACCTCGGCTGGTTTCCTTTGGATGGGAGACGTCTTCCGAATCTCAGCAACGACCTCCCGGATCCTTTCGCGACGGGACTGAACTTAGACTCAGCAATGGGAACCGAAGCGCTTTTCGCCGTTCATCCATCCAAGGTGCATTTTGTTCCACAGGCAGGCAGCGAGAAGACGTTGAAGTGGTCTCTCGACTTGGACTTCGAGCGAAACCAGAACCAGCGGAACAAGGAGCTAGGACTGGAAATCCGAACTATGTGTCCCTCTGTGTCTTGTTCCTGTAGCAGTTTCTTGGCGCAAGGTATCTCGAAATTTGCGGCGCCGTGGGAGCGGTGGCCAGCTCTTCGAGGGCCACCAAGGACGAGTTTGACAAGGCTGCGCTGCACGCCCAAAATGATGATCACTCGACAGCAAGTAGGCCGTAGGCCAAGTGTTTTGGAAATTGCTGTGTAGCACCGGAACGGAAGGCAGTTCACAGTGCATGCCAAGCGAACATTGGCTCGTGGGCCCGCGGCAAAGCAGCTTGGCCGCAAGATCTCGCCTGCAATGCCGGGCGATCTGCGATTGCAGCCAAGGCCTTTGGACGATCAGTTCTGGCATGCATCGTTTCGCGTGTGCTGCTGAATCGTCAGGCGACTTTGCACGGCCGTCCTGCCGTCCTAGCTGCCATCTTGCCAGCGTCAGGTGGCCGTGCCCGAGGGCCTGGAGGTGCTGCGAGACTGGGTCAGCGAGAACCTCGACACCGAGAAGTCTGCCAGGCACAGGCAGGTGCGGCCGAAGAAGCGAAGAAGAGATTCTGCATGATTCATGCAAGCAAGTGATTTGGGGATTGTCGAGCATCCACGGCCATCACCGTTTGCGAAATGCTGCGGCAGGAACCGATGCATGCTGGCGAATCGTATGTTCTCGGGGCTCCTTCCACATTTGCAGGTGAGCTGCCGTTCGTTGTACGTAAAGGTTTAGGCTTGAGAAGTGAAGATCTGGGCTCCTTGCAGGAAGTGACGGAGGAAGCGGATTCGACGGACGTGGACCCGAGGTGTCACGCTGATCTGACGTTGAGTCTTGCGACTTGCAGCTCTACCCGGCTCTAGCCCAATGCACCCGACGAAGTAGCCTCAAACCACCTTGAATTCACAGCAAGCGGCCGGCCTGGCACAGTCATGTAGCCACACGGGAGTAAGCCAAATTATCCTGTGCTAGCTTCCAGGAAGTTCCGGAAGTTTCTTGAACAGCTTGCGAACCACCTGGCACTGCTTGTGCTGGGGGCTGGGACGCAGCCAGCGGGTTGGCGGGGGCCCAAGAGGTTGCAAACGGTACAGCCGCTACCATGTTGACGTGGGGCCCAGGCTGGAGCAGGTCCTGAACAGCCCGGGTGAAGCTCAGCGATCCTACTGGCCCACGATGCCAGACAGCGAGGACCGCTTCTCGTGTGCTTTTGACAGCAGCCTTTGGTAAGACATCGCCGTGCTTTGCCAGGAAGCGGCGGTGGTGGGAGCCATGGGCTACGTGGGCTGGTGCCCGGAGCTTGCAGAGGTTAAGCCGGTTTAAGCTGCCCGAGCTTAAGGCAGACTCTGGGTCTAACCGCCAACCTTTCGGCCCGGTCTGCACTTCTCATCGACGAACACTGATCAATTCTGCAGTGGCCTTCGGTCTGCTTGGCATGCTGTGAAGCCTTAGCCACTCTGCTATGGTTCTGTGCATCTCCAAACACAGCTCCGAGCTGCAGCATGTTTCTAGGGCCTTCAAGTTTCTGCGAACGTGACTCTGCGGATCAATTTCCTTGTAGTGTTGCAAGCGGTTGTCTGCTCAAATGTCGTTTTGCCAGACAGATGGTGATGACAAATCCCGGGACACTTCAGAGATTTGACAGGATGATGTGCAACAACAAGCATGTGAACATCAGTGAAGAAAAGATGTAGGTGGAGTCTGCATGAGTCACTGGTGACGGTTGGCCCATGTTACATGATGTTACGAGCCTCATTGCTCTTACGTTACGAGGTACACGTGCCCGAATGGACATCCCTACTCCGTCGGTGAGTGCACCAGGCCACATTTACTGCATACACGGTCGTCATCGCTCCAGGCCGCTTCCTGTCCCCAGGCCAATGCAGAAAGGCATCTGCCCAGCTCCTGGCTGTGGTGCGCCGATCGGCGGAGAGCATCATCAGAACGTGCCGCTTGGCCGCGGCAAAAGGGCGTGCTTTTCTCTTCTCCCTCTGCTCCTCCGCCCCTCGGCCTCGTGGGCCCTGCAATGCTGGAGCCCGCATCGCAGGCAGGGCGTCCGCACCATCAATGAGGATCGCCTTCTGAGGCTGGAGCTTGGGGGGAGCTCGCGCTGCTAGGGCAGAGAATCTTCCGCAGGCACCGATCGCAGCCTGGTTACATTGCAGCAACGAGCGAGCTGGTGGATTGGGCCTCAGGGCGCACGAGGAATTGGGGAAGATCTTGCCAAGTGTCGGCCGTATCTTTCACGACAGATGCTGACATTGGCGGACAGTGTGACATCACATGTTCCGCGAGCCTAGGACCAGACCGTTGTCAACCAATTCAAGCGACAGCTGAACATGCGTGGCCTCAAAGCTATGCGCCTGGTGCTGCGCGTGGCACTCTGGGTGGCCCGGTTTGACTAAGCTAGGTAACCTTCTCAAGGGACGGCCACAGGCCTTGCCCTTGTTCTGCATCCAAATGACATTGTCAGAAGAATACCAGCATCTCGTGGTTGAAGCACTGCACAAGAATGCCGGCCAAGCTTGGCGTGGCTTTCATGTTCAGGCTTGACCGGTATAGGGTTTCGAACGAGCTTCTGCATGCCATCCTTGTCTCTGCAGACTCAGAAGTGGCCCACAGTCCTCTTCGTTCTAGCTGGGTGGCTCTGCCCCTAGCAATGACCTGCAAAACAAGGTCTGGCGCTGCAGCCCAAAGTCAGTCTGATCGCACTCTCCATCTCTACTTGAGAGATCTTGCTTCTACCGGGGTTCATGTCTATTCTTCAGCACGGTGGCAAGAGATAGCGCGCATTCCAATTTTGCAGTCTCAGACCGACGCGTTGAATCGATTGGCCGTTGAGTTTCGGGTCGACCTGCGAGACGAATTTTCCGTGGCTGTTTCGAGGCCTGTTTCAAGACAGAGCACGCCCTACTTGCTGATCGCAGCATTGCCCTCCTCACCTATGTGCTGAGTGTCGCCGTGCTATGACCGTCCATGTGCAGCTAAGCACCGCCCAAGGAAGAACCATAGCCATAGCCCGCTCTACCTGTCAGAATCTCTATGCCTCGGATACCTGCAAGCCATTTCCACACTTTGGCTGGGGTGGGAGAAAATCGAAGTTTGCGATTCAGTGTTTCACTTCCTGACAAAACTTATGGTAAGTTCCGAGCTTGTGCAGGAAAGCTATATGCTCACCCGACATCACCCGACCATGAATGTGTACTCGTCGGCATCTCCTATCGGTCCAAAGTTCGTTGATGCAAAAGTGTGAGAAGCGCGGCCGGCTGGTGATCGCGTGATCTTCACTTGCCAATTGTGCGCGCTCGTTCATGTTTCGGAGATCGCTTGGAAGCTACTTGTGCTTCAGCGTGCTTGGTTCCCGATGCTGCAAGTTTGCGACGGAATTGCGGTTAGCGATTCAGTCCGTGGCAGTCCCGACTCAGTCGTTTTGGTTTGCGATTCCGTGGTTGTTGTTAGCGATTCCTCGCAGGTCTGAGCATTGTCGTTTCTCTTATGAGGTGTCTCTATCTGGCCTGCCTCGGTTGAGGTGCAATAGTTCTGAGAGAACTTCGCTTCAGGCGAGCTTGAGCTCGGAGCTGCCACGCCCTGCAGTCGACGCTGTGCTGCCTGGAGCTGCCGCGAGTACAAAGTGCCTGGGCATGGAGCGAAATTCAGTGATCATGACGGCTTTCGAGGACTGGAGCTTGACGACCATGGTTACGGTTCTAGCTATGTCATGAATGAAGGGTGATTGTTTTGCTTGAAGTACCTGCAGGAAGGTAAGGAGGAGGATTTTCGTTGCCTGATACTTTTTCCAGCATAAGTGTGCGAATACATCGGGGTCGGCGAGAGTAAGCTGCCGTCTTGCAAACTTCGCTTGGTTTGAGCTGCTCGGCTCAGCTTCCTCAGGGATGCCGCGAAGGAGCTCTATCAGCTGATTTGCGAGGAGAGCTGAATCTGAGTTGCGTTGAAATCCCGGCTGAAGCCAGCGTAGATGGACTCTCTGCAGGACTGGAAGGCTTTGCTGTCTCGCACCAAGCTGCCTCCGCGGGAGCCGGTGGCCCAGACCAGACTCCGGATCAGAACGCGCGTGTCTGTGCTCGCCTGCACTCCCTCCAATGCTGAGGCTGGGTGCCTGGCTGCATGTGACGCTGATGAGATGTCGTGACGTGGGCCGTGGCTTGATCGAAGAGTTCCAAAGAGTTGCTGCCCATGCCATGGGCCCTGTGTGAGGAATTCTGTCCAACGAGACGGAGCGAGCAGACTTTGAGTACAACTTCCAGGCCGGCTTGGATGTTTCGCTTCTTGCAGTTGGCGGTAAGAGCTTCGCGAAGTCTTACATGATGACGTGGAGACCGTTCCTAGTTCGGGCAGTATCTGAGACTTTCAGTCGCCAGACTTGTCCTCTTCGAAAGTGAACGCGGGAATTGGGCGGGTTGTCCTCTTTGCATTGCAATCGCTCCGGTTGTATAATCTCTGGACTGGTACAATGTTCGAAGCATGTGCAGGTTGCCTCCGAACATTCTTTTACGGCTTGTGCGCAGCAACAGGAGGAGCCGCATGATTAGAGTTGTTTGCAGATTTTGCAATCCTGCGCATGCCTAGCGGGTGCAATCTGATTCGGGCCGCATTTGTCTGCTTTGTGGTGCAATTGAACACAACCAGCTTGCGGACCTTTAGCTCTTTGAACAGGATCGGAAGAAAATGGATGTTGGCACTGACTACACGGCAGCAGCATGTATGGCCTTGGGTGAGAAAGCTTGGCGCGAGCTGGGCGCACCTTGCCTAGTTTCTGCCTGCTTATCATGCTAGCGGCGAGTCCAGTTGAGAGGGGACAGGACCTGATTCATTGCAGCATCAGAATGTACTTCCAACTTCAAGGACAACTGGGAGAAGGGTCTCTACGAGACTGTGGCACCTGGGCTGACCTGGTCTGTCACTGATAAGGTTTTGGTTTTGGGGTGTGCCCAAACCTTCAAATCAGGAAACGGCATTGCCGTGCATTCTGTGGAACGGTCGCCAGCCTGCCGGTCTAGCGGATTTTGAGCGGAGCTTCATGTCTTGCCACCGCCTCAGTTTGCCAAAGTCGATTGTCGGCTCGTGGCTTTGAGAGGCTCCAACTCTGCAGAGAAAAAGCCAAGGTAACGAGAACGCTGTCAGCCGGCCAGTTTTGTCCGTGATGCTCAAGGAGCAGAGGCGCGTTCGCATCGTCGCTTAGCTTCTGACCCAAGCAGCCTTTGCAGGCGCCTCACAGCGCTCAAGGCTCTTCCGGCGGTGCTGGCCTGGCATGCGGTCCTTTTCGAGGCTCAAGCCGAAACCAAAGAGACAGGGAAGAACTCGATTCTTTTCTGGAGGCCTTCGAAGACTACGGCCTCCTTCGCCTGGGACTTATGATTCTTGTGATGACGATAAAGTTTCTGCACTCAGCCCGACTCACCGAGGAGAGGAGGCGCGGCAGCTCACCAATTCTGAAGCCATTGCAAGGCCAGGCGGGCAGGTGAGAGCCGTAGCTTCCGTACCTCTGCAGCGCCTTCTCGCTCTTTTCGAGGCTTCCGGAGCACCGCCGGGCCCATGCCGAAGAGTCTCTCAACGAGTTCTGCCGCTGCTTCAACGTGGCTTTCCCGCTGGTTGAGCGCAACCTGGCTGGGGTAGTGAAGTGAGGTGAAGAGAGGACGTGGCCTTCCAGCCGAGGTCTCTTCGAGTGCGAGGCCAATCCGTTCCTGCAGCAGGGCAAAGTTAACCTGCCAGGGCCAATGACGCAAAGCGGCAAAGCAGAAAGTTGTCGGGCCTCCATGTTTTGATGCGGCACCTGGAATCTTCGATGGCATGCAGATTTCCCGGAGAACTGAAAGCCAGTCGTTGCCTGAGGACACCTGAGACACCTGTGATATTCTCCTTACCCTATGTGGCACCATCCGGCGAAACAGAGGCCCGTGACACCATGCTCTCGGCAGCTGTTGCTGTTCTTATCATGTGCCACATGCTTCCGGGATCTTGCGGGAGTTTCGAGGCATCCACCCTCTGCACAGTGCAGCTTGCCAACGTCTTGCAAACCGCCCAGAACGACTTGGTCGAGGACAGGCGTCTCCGAGGGGCTCATCTCATGCTGAAGCTTGCTCTCCCAAAGGCAGTCGAGGTAGCCCTCGGCATCCAGGCGGAAAACACCCCGGCGCTGTCGGCAGGGATGCCAAGGGGGGGACGTCGGGGGTTCGGTCCTGGATTTGCTTCCGGCTTCATCCGGCTTCGAGCGCTTGAGCTCCGGGTCCATCACGGTAAACTGTTGATCTTGTAGTCTTGTCTTACGGTGAGGCAGACGTCTCTGAACCGTTGTACGGGGGTGCGAGTTCGCCATGGCCGTGCGAGAGGTCAGCGCGGCCACGGAGCCCAAAGTTGTGGCTTCCTTGTTGGCATCGCTGGCCCCTGGGCGAAGTCTTCAGTCCACAGGGTGCGCAAAAGATTCGATGGTTGTCGTGCACTGGCATTGACTGCATGGTGAACGGGGAACCAAGGATCTTCGCTCTGACTTGCTGCCACTGTTGCACCAGAGCCGGAAAGACAGCAATGCCTCCGCGGCATACGACCTGGACGCTCGAGCCAAGTCAGAGCCGATGTAGACTTGGCATTCGTTTGTCCGAATTGAGCCTTGACTCAAGCTTGATGTAAGGATCAACTCGACGAAGCACTGACGCAGCATTTCCGCGGAGCTGTCCGTATCCAGGCACCGCATTGAGCTGCAGACTGAAAAGACATCCCAACATGTCCGATGACAGAGCAAGGTTCAGCTGCGCCACTATCGCTTTGGCGGAGAGTTGAAGGACAGACTTGGCAGGTCTTGGAGGCGGTTCTCATGTCGAGAGCAGGCCGAGAGCAGGATTGTCTCAGCTGCTGTGTGATCTGGCTCGAGCTCAGGTCATCTAGTAAACGGCGCATCAACGCAAAAGCATCGTTGAAGCCATGCCCGCCACAACGAACTTCCGTCGCCTGGCCGCTTTGTTGTTGCTGCCAGTGCAGTTCGTCCAGGCGGAGCAGTGTAAATCTGCATCTTACACATACTGTTGCGAGCTGGGCACGCCATGTGATTGCAAGAAGGGAACCACTTCCCCTGGCCAGTGCACACCGGAGTCATATGGCTTTTGCTGCAGCATTGGCACACCCTGCGATTGTTCGCAACCGCCTGAGCAACCCCAGCATGTCCCTGCGGAGCCTGCACCAGTCTCCAACGTGTCACTCCCCACCCCTCAGAACCTCCATGCTCAAAACTGTGCAGCGCCCGGTGACTGCGGCTTGGCTTACGAAGCCTGCTGTGCCGGCTTTTTGGCCAAAGGCTTCCCGTGCCAATGTCAGCTGAAGGATGATGGGCACGGAGAAGCTGGGTCAAGCTGTGGCGACTGTGGGGCAGCGTACGCAGCATGCTGCGCGGGCTTCAAGGCTCAAGGATTTGCCTGCTCCTGCGACGTCGAGCCCGGCCAGTCTGAAGCCGCAGTTGTGGTTTGAGTCTGAGTCTACGGAGGGAGGTGTGACATGCTGCAGCTAGTAGCTGCAGGCAGTCCGCCAGTGGTACATGCTGAGGTAGCAGACAATTCTGTTGCTTGGACAGCTAATGTCTGCGAGAGCTGCAAAAATGTCCGAGAGCAAATCACAGCACCCGCTTGCAGCAAAGCACCCGCCCGCAGGACTCGGGCCGTCTGGCAATTCTTCGGCAACGGCTTCCGCAGCAGCCTTTGCCCTTCGGAATGGTGGAGGCCAGAGCTGAAGGGAGCCGGCCGGGGCTGTAAACGGAGACACCAGAGAGAGCCCCACCCACCCAGAGCCTTCTCGAGTTTTGAGTGGATGCAAGAGAAGAAAGTGCCAGCTCAGAGCGTGTTAGCCAACTGTGGTGAAAGCAGCACATGTGGGGAGGGTGCTGGGAGATTTGGAGTGCTTGCTGCATGCTGAAACCGAGAGGGGCAGCAGAGTGTCCTTCCTTCGTCCGAGGAGCTGCGGCGAGAGCTGGAGCGACGGGGCGATGCTGATGAGGCTTTGGTGCACATCCGAATTTGAGCAAGCCTATAGTGGCCTCCTGAGACAGGCGACGCTGCTTCTGCGTGCACTCGTGGAGGATGTCATAAACCTTTGTTGCTCGACCGAAGTCAGTTTGCATTTCAGTCTTGTTGTTAGACAGAATTAGGGCTTTGCTTCGCAAGCAAAGGTCTTTCTCTGGGTGCTCTCGGCAAAGCTGGCCGTGCTACAGCTGCGTGGCGAAGCGAAGCAGATCAGGGTCGTTCGAAAGGTTTACACAAAACCGGGTTGCGCCTTCGAATCGCAACCATCAGCTTTTGTGATTTGCCGTTGTAAGGTTCATGCAGAAACACCACTTGCAGAGTTGGTCGATGCTTCGGCAGACGGGGCGAAGCTGCCTCAGGCACGGTCGCAGCGGCATGCACCTGGCGTGGGTCAGGCTTTTGAGGGCTGTAAGTTTTCTTGGCATCCGTGGTTATCTTCAGAGGCTCTCCACAGCCGAGCTCGGCTTTGTCACTTGCAAGATCTGCCCTGCCCTCAAAGCAGAAGAAGCTTGTAACAGCTTGAGAGGAAATTGTTTCAAATCTGGGATCCAGCAGGTACATGGAGCTGGTGGCATCCAACCATGCTGCTGACTCTCTAGCTGCGGTTGCACTGGCATACCAGGAGAGAGCACAGTGCATATGTGCAGCTGCGCGAGTGTTAAATTGTTTGTCTATATTGGATAACTACAAAGACGATCTATACATATTACATATATATATATACATATATATACATCATATACATACATACATACATAATATACATATATATATATATATGTATGTATGCATACATATACATCTATCTATCTATCTATCTATCTATCTATCTATCTACCTATCGATCTATCTATCTATCTATCTATCTGTCTATCTATCTATCTATCTATCTATCTAACTATCTATCTATATCTATC